TCTATGAGGTACATTCGAATTCTTCTAACGCACAATTTTTTCTTTTACTGAAATAAAGTAACTAACCATATCAAATGAATAAAAACAGACTCATTTCGTTTATAACAATTCCATTTGTTATAAAAAATGGAAACGGGTTCTATTCAAATTGTTTTTTTATTTTTTCCACTGGGAAGTTGGTCGCGTGGACCTTTCGGGTCGCACCCAGACCACTGCAGAGCACTGATATTTTTTACTATTAGTTTATAGCAATTTTTAATCGACCGTTGTTAACTGGTATCGTTTTTAGTTTGAATAAATAAATTTTGTTTTAGAGTTTAAACTATTTAATTAGAATTCACTTTGTAACAATTCCGCAAAGAATCCTGGTCTAAAATTAGTAATTTTAAAGTAAGGCAGGGATTTTCCTGAGGATTCGCCTAAAGGAAATTTCATTTGTTACAATACTAATCGAATTTGTTACTGTTTAGTCAACAGACTGACAGATTTCCTAACCTCTCTGGTTACGTTAGGCCCTCTAAGTTAACTTTCATGTAGCACGGCACTACTAAAAATTCTTCAGGTAGTGCCGTAGGAAATTCCTGAGAGCTTATCACTTTCCGTTAAATCTATCCATCTATTCTCCAAATTTCTTCTTCACTAAGTAGTATACAAGTTACTATCTAGTGACCACCTAATCACCTTTCGGGACGTTATCAAATAGAGAATTTCTTAGCCAATGAAAATTAACTGAATGACTCAAATTTTGGGGGTAATACTCCAACTTTTCTCTCTGGACTTTCTCGAGTCGCTTCATACATCTCGAGAAGAGAGTACGCTTTATTTTTCTGAGATTTTGTACTTGAGGAAAACAAGAGTTTATGATCATCAGTTAATTTCAAATGAGTTCAATAATGTTCAAAGAGTTTAACAGGTTTAGGTGAACAATCTTTTCCAAACCAAAGTGCACTTAATTAAAGTTAAGCGTGAATTTGCAAAGTGACGCCGAATCGTGTTTGAGAATCAGACATCTTCAGATGAAATTATCTAGAACAATGCAAGTGTAATTTTTGAACCAAATACTGACTACCGCAATAAAACAAAAAAAAATTAGTTTACTTATTTTAAATCTAGTGAGATTATATTATTTTTGAGATTGATAATTCTCCTCATTCCTCCTCACATTGAGGCACTCGAGATCATTTTCTATTGTTAAGAAAGATTTTCTGGGCTTCACGATATGGATACAAACAATCGAATACAGGTTTGATCTAATGTATTTAAGTACTTTCAACGAGAAATTTTTTTTTTCACTGAAAAAAAGTTATTGATCTAGTAACATAAATAAAAATGGACTTTTCCTCTTTATAAGAGGTCAATTTGTTACGAAAATTGAGTCACTAAACGAGATACTGATTTTTTTCCTCACATTTCGTTCAGTTAGATGGAAATATGTTGGAAACGGTCTAACTTGAACTCAAAAATATACTACCTTTGCTGACGAAATCACGAGTGCATGCTAGTATATTTTCAGAATCTTTTTAATTTTATAGCTATTCATGAACACGAACATTATTTATTTCTTGCAAGTTACGCACCCGACGCTCATTTATTGTAGTTCTATCTGATGGGTGAAATTAACGATAATTGATGTCGCTAACAATTATTGTCGTATTTATTACTTCTTAAAGTCGCAATTGCATCATTATATGGTAAATGTTACATTTGCTGCTTAAATCAAAGATACCAGTTATGTCTTATTAAATCGAAAGAGAATCAAGGTCGCGTGAAAAAGAATTTTTTCTTTTTAAATTATATATCATAATTAATAAAAAAATACTCCACGTGTCTAGATCTTACATTACTGCATAAAATTCGCAAAATATTAGTGATTGGCTATCACCTGAGTGGTCACTCCTGACGGAGGAATGTTAATTTTCTGAGTCAGATTGCTATTTATTTCTGATATTAAATTCCAAAACAAAAATTTTATTAACTATTCAGGCTTATTTCACTGTGGGCAACAGTATAAAGAATTACAAATTCGGGCTGGTCTAACATTACTCTATCCCATGGTAAAATTTCATTTAAATCTGTGGAAAAAAATTATTTAACATTCTTTCCGTGTAATAAAAGGTATCCGATATTTGTTAGTCATGTTCAATGATGGTCGAATTTTATTACGGTCTATAAAACAATGATGTAATCGTTATTGTGAATTTAATATATTACATTCAGTAGGAAATTTTGATCACAGCCAATTAAATTTCGCGTAAATCGAAACCTACAATGAGTTATAGTAATAAACATTTTAATACTATAACAAAAAAAGAAAAAAAAAGTTAAATCAATAATCAATGACTGGTTTTGCAGATTGCAGACCAGCACTGCTATTTTAGTATTACCTGTAATTCTATGGATAAAATTCGAAGGCATGGCTGATCAGTAACTTTATTTATCGTTTACGAAGAATTTTTGTTTTGCACTCAGTTGGAAACTTATAATTCATAATGACTATTGATTAAATACAAAAACATGATGTGCAAGAATTACGGAAATATGCACATCTAGAAATTTTGACGACATTACAATATATTTTTTGAGTGTAGAGTTGTCCGGTACACTTGTGGGTACGCATACTAGATCGTAAGATAGAAAAGGAGAAGGGTGAACTATGATTAGGGCTTAGTATCTTCTCATGCCCCAGATAGAATTATAACAAAACATACTTTTTATTAGTACATGCAATATTCATAAATAGTTACGGATATCAAGTTTCACATAAATTGTATGTATTTCAAAAAGTTTTTCTTTTTTTTTTTCAGAATGGATGCATCAGTATTATCAATGCCTAAAGCACCTCTACCAATGTCTGCAAAATCGAATCAGCAATCTGAATCATATTCAAAACAACATCAGGTATGATCTGACGGGTTACTTTACTTCCTATTATTAAACAATGTTGAGAAAAAAATTTCATCGTAGATAGTAACTTTATAATAATTGTATCGATTTTTCGGTTCCATAGCTCAAGCACTAAGTTATTTTTATCTTCGAGAATAATTGTGTTAGTTTTGACTTTCTGAGTAATTCATGAATTTTTTATAACGATACTCGCTGTTTTAAGCTGTAAACGAAAAATAATGATTTTGCTTTTTTAATACCTGACTATGATTTGTCTGGGAACTGCTTCACCGGTTGGATGATAGACTAGATCTAAGGCTATTTGACAAATTCTGGTTGACACACAAAGTCCTTTTTCTTGGTGGTTTATTAAAAAAATACTTACCCTCTTATCACACAAAAAGATTTTTTTATAATAAACTTTACAATAGATGAATGCTAATTGCAAGAGTACTGCCCATAGAGTTATCAGGGAGTATACTAGCGGTTTACCGCGTGGCTAGCACGCTGTTCGGCGACGCTAAGGCCTTGATGAGGGTTGGTGACCATCGTCAGCGCCGCAGCTGTCTGATAGGTCTCTTTGAGTTGTTAGGACCGTGAATGTATACACCCGGGGATTCGAACAATTTAAAAAATTTGCCTTGCGCAACTCGTAACACTAGCTGATTCCCGCGACTTTGTCTGCGTAATATACATGATTTAGTTACAAAATCAATTCGTAAATATTGAGATAAGGCCAAAAAATCTTGCATTTAATTAAAGAATATACATAAAAGATTCCGTTAAAAAAACTTGGAAATATTGTATTGCTACAGATTCGAATTTTACACAGTTAGTAACTCTCTGCCAATGAAAAAAAAGTTTTGTGTTAGAAAAAGTAAAATATTTGTTATTAAACCCGTTCTTCACTATTCGTGAAGAATTTAATTGTAATAAACAAAAAAGCATGTGTACATTCATGTCTTTCTTAGTAAAAGAAAAAATTAAATTAAATTTTAATATTGCTAATATTAATTATAAACTGATATAAATAGTAAAATTGTACTTTTTAGAAACGAATTAGTGAAAATCACAGATTTTTAAGGAGAATCGTAGATAATCACTGATTTATTTTAGAAAGTATGAAAAATAACAAAAAATTCTTTAGAACATCTTGACTGAGTAACATTACTAAGAGTAGTTAGGACAGTTAGGTATTTGTTCTGACTTGGAGGGGCCCAAGTCAGTTAGTCAGGAATAATCAAAATTTCTTCACGCCGGACTTGTCCGACATGTGAGACTTTTTTTTGGGTGAGAAAATGACCATCAGACAATTCATACGGGTATAAACAATTTATGTACAGTCAACTCACATATATGTAGTGATTATTAAGTTCTATTGGTTATGTTAAGTGTTATTGTTGAATAAAACATCAAAACCTAGACAAATTGGTGTTTGTGAATCACTTTTCAGAACCTTCTAGCATCCAACCTTTTTCCTTATTCTGCTCTTAATTATTACAGTCCATTAGTTTTTAGTTTGCTCGTCCGGCCGACTCGAAGTCAGAACATTTGGTCCTTCGAGCCGGATAAGAACGGCTTGGATGCATATCGAACAATTCTAGAAGGTTCTAGTGCTTCAGAAGTTTGTGAATATTTTGTGAATTATTCTCTCTAAAGTGCGTGTGATTCAATTAGACTCAGACAACTCTCAGTGTTAGTGGGTAAACAACCTTACAGACAAAAGGTGTTTACACATTCCAGTGCCCAGTGACACTCATCATTATTATTGTGAGACAGTGGTGCTCATCTCACAAATTAAACAATTTCTTGAGACGCTTGGCGCGCAGTCTTTTTGTGTGAGAGTCAAGATAACCTTGACACAGGCCACTCACTTGTATATAAACATAGTTATTATTAGGGTAGTGTTCGTAGTGTAAAGTTCGTCACCTAAAATTATTATTCAGAGCTCGTAGAATCAGTGAAGTAATTTGTGTGATTCTTTTGGTGATGAGACTTTATTGAAAGCCCACCATTGGCATCAAGGTGACAACAGACAACTCTAGCAACATTTTTTGTGCATTTTCTTAGTGATAAGTGTAAGTTTAGTGACATTAGACAACTCACTTAACTGAACAATGGCAGGCAAACGGTTAATTTCGCCTGCAAAATCGGACTACGTTGATGTAGCCGAAGACAATGAGTCAGTTGAAGGTATTAGTGAACTATTAGAACCAGTGAGTGTCAGCCAAGCGCTATTCAAACACCAGTATATGACCGACAGAGTGTATGAAAGTGCCTTACGGCTTCATTACCATATAGAGTCAACTCTCCATCGTGTTAAATCAGAGCTACACGAGAAAGACGTCCAGAAGGCCATCGATGATTACAAAGCCTCTACACAGCAGACAACTCCAATCATATACAGACAGGCAACTCTCCCAGAGATCCCTCTCCCAACATTCGCAGGCGACTCATCAACGTGGACGCAGTTTCGGGACATGTTTACGTCCCTTGTTCACGATCGGGAAGATCTCAGACCAGTAGCCAAACTACACTACCTGAAGGCCAACGTATCAGGTCCCCCACTTCAACTGATCCGTCATGCTGTAATGAATGATGATGGATATGAGCCAGCATGGAACCAGCTCAAGGCCAGGTACGATGATCCAGAACAACTCATCTTTGCCCACATTAAAGACTTGTTTAGTGTGACCACACCCTCATCAAAGGCAGCTGAACAACTCGATAACCTGGTAGGCGTGGTACGCCAAAACTTAGATGCCTTGAAGGCACTCAATGTCCCAGTCGACTCAGCAAACTACTTCTTGGTATACCTGGTGGCCAGTAAACTTGAGCAGCCGCTACGTGAGTCATGGGAACTCGAGCGAAGTAGGTCTCGCTCACCGACAACTCTAGACAGTCTACTCAACTTCATCTCAACCAGGGCACGTGCGATGGAGTCAGCTCAAGATGCAGCCCGTCAAGCAAAACGGTGGCCTACTCCAGTGATCACCAGAAAATCAAGATCACAACAACAGTCTACTCACCAGCAGACGACTCACCCACAGACAACTCGAGCCTCCACGCATGGGGCTCAAAAACGACAAGCAGACTACCCGTGTGATCAATGCAGCAGCCTAGATCACTACTTGGCTGACTGCAAAGCGTTCGTAGGACTCTCCCAGCAAGAAAGGTACAAGCTGGTCCTCGCAGCACGGCTGTGCTTCAATTGCTTCGGCCACCACTCCATCCAGGTGTGCCAGTCAGAGAAGCGATGCAGCACGTGCAATTTAAAGCACCATTCAATGATTCACACGCCCAGGACAGAGTCTCTAAGAAAAAGAGAATATGGCCCTGGCCAAGAACCGCAGCCGACTCATAGCAGCCACCATCCATCAACCTCCCAGTGAGATGACGATGTGCCATTTCGACAGCCGACTCCAGATCACACTCATCCATCTGCACAGACTTCTCACCAGGCAACTCATCATCATAGTCACCTCTCTGCAGTCAACTCTAATGATGTTTTAGTCAATTCTCCAAGTGGTGGTGTGATCACTCAACAGGCAGTTAACTCAATGATTAATGGTTATGAATCATGTCAATCTACATGAGCTAACAGGAGTAAAGAATGCTTCTCTGATGACTCGACGGAAAGGATGACCTTAGCACATGAGGTTTCGGCCTCAGGAGGGTTGACGGTCCTGAAAGAAGAGTCAGAAGGTCTCGTTCGATCTCCTACAGCTGAAGAACAGAGTCAAACTCACACTAGTCAACTCTCAGACGACTCACATGATTCAACAATCACCAAGAACAATACAGACAACTCAGAGATTCATGGACGATTCTCTTCAGCACTTAGAGCAGCAGAAAAGATGTACTAATGAGTCTTCAGATCAATCAGACAGCTCAGCAGTCTTACTCGCCACAGCCAATGCAGTATTACACTCAGACTACTCTCAGCTTCCAGTAAGACTCCTGATAGACTCAGGGTCTGAACTAACATTCATTTCATCAAGCGTGGTAAAGACTCGTCATCTCCAACGTCGCCCATCAGTGATATCAGTGCTGGGAACTGGGAATGAACCAGCTGTACAAACTAGAGGAGTGACAACAGTGACACTACGTTCAGCTCATACACAGGAGCAAGTTACAATTAACGCTCATATCCTCAAATGTGTCACTAGTACTTTACCAACCAGACAAATCAAGGAAATCAACTGGTCAGCTCTCAACTCTCTTCAACTTGCTGATCCAGACTACTCAACTCCAAGACCCATTGACATTTTAATAAGAGTAGATTGTTATGGACTAATTGTGAAGGCAGGCATCAAACAATTTCCTCAGTCATCGCTAATAGCCCAAGATTCAATTTTTGGATGGATGCTCATTGGAAGTCCACAACCGACAAGATGCTCAAGTCAGAGAACTCATCACGCAGCAAGGGTCAACTCATACCAGCAAGTATCTGATCTCTTGACAAAATTCTGGGTTCAAGAAGAAGTTCCAGATACTTCAGCCAGCCAACTCAGCCCAGATGATCAATCTTGTGAAGATCATTATGTTACGACTCATTCAAGAGATCAAGATGGGAGATATATTGTGAGAATACCACTAAAAGCATCACCATCTTTTCTAGGCAACTCATTAGCGAGAGCTCATCAGTGTTTACTACACATGATCAGACGACTCACGAAGAATGACTCATATGCACAACTCTATCACAACTTTATGCAAGAATACGAGTCACTGAACCACATGACACGAGCCAAGGCAAGTCCAGTCAACTCTCCAGTGTATTATTTGCCTCATCATGGTGTCTTAAAAGAAGACATTGTTACTACAAAACTCCTTGTAGTATTTAATGGCTCTAGTCCATCTTCTAGTGGTCTGTCAGTGAACGACATTCAACATACTCAATCATCAGTGTACGATTCAAGAGCTCAGCAGGAAGAGCGGCCCAGGCTCACTTTAGTTACTCAGACAATTCAACATGATTATCATTGGGATATGATATACAGACATTCTCGGCTAATCAAATTGCTCAGAGTGACTGCAATTTGCTTCAGATTTAGCCAACTCCTCAGACGAGTACCGCAGTCATCTCTCACCTTCCCTCTCACGCCACAAGAATTAGAGAGAGCAAGGATTTTTTGGATAAAGGCAACTCAAGAATCGTACTTCTCACAGGAAATCAAGCAGATCAACTCAAATTCACTGCCCGTCTCACACCCCCTCGCACGATTGACAGCATTTATTGACACTCAAGGAGTCATACGTGTTGGAGGGAGGTTAGCAAATGCTAGCTTGGACCAAGAAGCAAAGCATCCGGCAATCTTACCACAGAAAATTCATCTTTCCAGACTAATCATTGCAGATGCTCATGAAAGAACATTGCATGGTGGGACGCAGGCAACTCTGAACCTTATACGATCATCATACTGGATCATAGGCGGACGACTCCCAGTACGATCCTATATTTATCATTGTATGAAATGTGCTCGTTTACGTGGCGAACGAGCGAAGCAGTTAATGGGTCAATTGCCGTTATCAAGAATCACTCCAGCCCGACCATTTGCCGTCTGTGGTGTGGATTACGCTGGTCCCATCACGCTAAAGACTTGGAAAGGCAGAGTCGCCAAAACATCTAAGGGTTGGATGTGCATTTCTGTGCTTCGTTACTTCTGCACTTCATTTAGAGATTGTAACAGATTATTCAGCAGACACATTTATTGCAGCGTTCAGACGGTTTACTGGACGTCGAGGTGTCTGCAGAACTCTCCTCAGTGATTGTGGCACCACATTCCAAGGCGCAGACACGCTCATCAGACAACTCTTCAAGCAGGGGACTCAACATGCCAGTCAACTCGCAGCTGTATTTGCAAAGGATGGAACTGAGTGGAGGTTTAATCCACCAGCTGCACCACATATGGGAGGAAAATGGGAAGCTGCAGTAAAATCTGTAAAATTTCATCTTAACAGAACTATAGGCGACTCACTCTTTACATATGGAGAGCTTTCCACACTGCTTGTCCCGATAGAAGCAGTCCTCAATTCCAGACCACTCGAACCTCTCTCAGCCGACTCTACAGACATCTCAGCGTTGACTCCAGCACACTTCTCGGTTGGTGAACCGCTCGTAACATTACCAGAGCCTTCACTGGAAGATGTGCCACTGCTACGCTTGTCCAGGTGGCAATTTATTCAGCAGCGACTCCAATCGTTTTGGTCAACACGGTCAAAACAATACCTTCAGCAGCAACTCGCCATTTCCGAATGGAAACACCCATCACACCAAATCACAGTCGGCTCACTAGTACTACTCACTGACGAGAGGTTCCCACCAACAAAGTGGCCTCTCGCCAGAGTGATTGAGGTGTTCCCAGGAGCAGATGGACTCATCAGAACAGTCAAACTCAAGACAGCAGCAGCAGAGCTCGTCAGACCACTCACCAAACTAGTCATCTTACCATACACTCCACCAGCAGAAGATCAGCAAAGGCGTTGCTGATGGTGGGACAATGTTCTGACTTGGAGGGGCCCAAGTCAGTTAGTCAGGAATAATCAAAATTTCTTCATGCCGGAGTTGTCCACCGGCGCTTCAGTCAACTCACTGGACCAATCATCGGGAAGTATTTCCCTCATGGCCCAGAAGGCGACTCTACGGCCCTAGTGACGCCAACAAGCACGCGGTCGAGCACTTGTGGCGTCAGTTAGCTCCAGGCAAATCACGTGGTCATCTCTGTGTAATTGTTCGCAGTCAAATCGCGGTTTTGTGCAGTCAGCTCACCTTTGGTAGTACCAAAGACGGTCAAGTAGACTCAGACACCTCTCATGAACATAAGTAAATCATCAAAATTACTCTCCAGTATAGTCAGTTGTGGTGTCTTTGGGCGCGAAGCTGAACTGGCGTCGACGCCATAGTGCCTCACGGACATTCACATATACATCGCACACCCGAACAACTCTGGTGTATACCGTGAATGTTGCTATTCACTGTTTTGAGACTTTTCTTGGTGAAAAAATAACCATCAGACAATTCATAAGTGTATGAACAATTAATGTACAGTCAACGCACATAAACTCAGTGATTATCAATTTCTATTGTTTAAGTTAAGTGTTATTGGTTAATAAAAATCTATAAAACCCATACAATTTGATGTTAATAAACTATTTTAAGGAACCTTCAAGCATCCAACCTTTGTTCTTATTCTGCGCTTAATTATTACAGTCCACTAGTTTCTAGTGTGCTCGTCCGGCCGACTCGAAGTCAGAACAGTATTGTTGATGTAAATTTGACTTTTACAACTGATTGTTTGATTCAGTGTTCAGCGTTTAAATATTGTTTAAAGCAATTAGAATGTGTAGTAGTTTAAGCATTGAATGCTCATAATAATAATTTTTGGAATCAGTTAATAATAAAATCTTAAAAAAATTTTGATGGTTATATGATGCAGTTAATTGCACCATAACATGTTGATAATAATCTATATTCGAGAGTATCGTATGTGATTCAAATGAGCAAAAATTGAATATTTCATTGGAACCCGAATTTTTACGGTTTTTCATTAATACACATAGACTTATTCCTCTGCTTTATTTTATCACAAAATATAAAGTATACAAAATTGTTTTATTTAACGACGAAATTAGTATTAAAAACTTCACTTAAACAATCAATTATCTTATAATGTAATTATTATTAGAGATTCTTGGAATGAGCTGAAAAAAAACATTCGTTTCAAATTTTCGTCCAATAATTCTTTTAGTTTATTATCGTTTATACCAGTCAAGCAGCACCTATGACAATAAATTTGCGGGAACAAGCATGTATGGTAGAGTATATAGTGAGAAAAAAGTAATACATCCGATACCTTTCGTCGAAAAATGGGCCCGAGTCCAATTTGTGCCTTGATGACGAACTTCTCATTAATTGAAATCTGTAATTCTGTCATTTCTTTATTTATTTATAAAAAAATTAGTATTGTTATAAATAATTCATAATTGTCTAGAGTCATATGAAATTATCGTCAACCATATTATATTGAGCTCAGTTATCAATGACGTTCATCATTTGATAAGTAGTATCTATTTTCAATGTCATCTTTGCTCATTGCAATCTGTTGGTCTTCCTCTTAAAGTAGGTTTACTACGTCAATTCTACGTGCAATACCATAGGTTTTTAATATTACAGAATCAACATTTATTAATTTCATGTAAAAACTTATCATAAAAAATAAGTAAAATCCACCAAAAACAGATATCGTTCGATATTTGTTATACAAACAGCCACAAGTCCACTGTCATATCGTACGCTTATAAATCCCAATTCTTCTGTATGCAAAAAATATTGAAAATCACAATATTGCACAAAATTCAACTCGTCACAGGTACAAAATTATAAAATTATTTATAAAAAATTGTTCAATAAAAAAAACCGGATAAGTATGCCCGAGAAATTGTCGATTAAACGCTCCATTGAAATATTAATAAATAATGGCTAGCATGAAGTATGAAAAACGCATACTAGCACATATTTTACCGTTGTAAAGAAATAAAATTTACAATGCTTGTAAATAATCAAGATTCAATTTCAAAAAATCCATGGCTCATTTCTTCAAAAGATGAATTGCAAACGAAAGAAAAGAAGAAAAAGTAGATACATGTTTTCACATTATAGGAAAAATATATGTCTATATCCATAGTCAATCCTATTAAAGCTGCCATCATTGGATGTCAGTCACATGTTACGCTATATGCATGTCCCGAACAACTCTGTAAATATCAGAATTCTTATTTTGGATAATTTTTTAAAGAAATCGTGAAACAGCAAAAAAGTTTGAAATCAAACGGAATGCCATGTTATCTGTAAAATTAAGTCTTTTTTTTTTAACAATTTCAATGAAGAATGTCGAAAATACTTGTTTCAATAATTTATGAATGATTGAAAAATTTATTCCGTAGGTGAAAATTTATAATAAATTTATTTTCCTGCAATTGATTTTTACTCATTTTGAATACATAGTTAATTCAAAGAAATATCAGTGCTCTTCAGTGGTCTGGGTACGATATTTAGGACAGATTTGAATGATATAAACAAAAAGGGGGAGTTTCTATTTGTGCCATATGGTTGGTAACTTGTTTTTAGTAAAAAAAATACGCGTTGGAAGAGTTCGTTTTTAGGGCTTTTATTGAATTAATTTGTAAGTCAATGTATATATATCTAGCTCTTTAATTCATTCCTCTCTTATTATAAAACTCTTTGATTCACTCAATGGTAATCTTAATAATCTAATGAAGACACAGTAGCCTTTTATTAAAAGAAGCGATGTTTTATTCACAACGACACTATACCGACCGACTAATCGCGCAACATTTTACTAAGAGGGGGGGGGGAAGAGTGTAGTTCTTCTAAGCCACCACAAGATGAAGAGACTAACAAAGTCCTGTTTTCCTCTCACTCCCTCCCTTTTGTTGGTCCTTAGGCATCCTCTTTATTGATACAAAACAGACAAATTTATTATTAGGTTTTAATTTAAAAGTTTGTAGGTAAAATATGTTGTATATGTATTGTGTGCCTCTAAAGGTAAGGGTTTAGTTAATATGTCTGTCACATTTCCTTTTGTCGCCACCCACTTCACATTAACTTTTTATTCCTCTACACACTGTTTAATAAAATCTCTATGTGTTATGGCCGTGTGCCTCCTCTTTCCACTCTTTTCAATTGCGTATCGCACAGCTTTGTCTATGGATATTAATTCTTGGCATGCATCACTCATAGCCAAGTATTAAGCGTGACACGTAGACGGTGTAACATATGATTGCTTATGACTCCTCCGTGCAAGTATATCGCCAAATAATTTAATGATATATCCTCCAGTTGATGTTGAGTCTTCATGATCTCGAAAACTCGCATCAGTATATGCCTCCAAATCATCAGTTCTGGTTATATATCTAAGTATATAGACATAGTTCATGTCAGTCATTTTCCAGACCCAATTTTCTCGCTTTTTCTGTGAATCTTTTATTCCATTTCTTTAGGCTAACTTTTAATCCATAAAATGCTCTCTCCAATTTGCATACAGTCGATCTTCTTATGTGATCATCTATCTCTAGTCCTTCTGGAATTTCCATGTATACCTCTTCGTCCAGCACTTCATTTGAATTGCAGTTTTGACATCCAATTGACACACATATAGATTTGATTCATTAATTATTGCAAACATAGCTCTTATAACTGGAAGTCTTGAGACTGGGAAATATGTATCTTTCAAGTCATACTTATTTTTATCTTTGAAGCCTCTTGTGACCAGTCAAGCCTTATATCGTGTTGAACCGCCTGCTTCTAGTTTCCTTTTAAATACCAATTTTGAATCTATAATATTTGCCGTTTTATTACTTTGTTGTATTTTTTCTCTCTCCACAAATTTCCATACTTTATTATTTCTTATAGATTCTAGTTCTTTTTCAATAGTTCTCTGCCAAAAACAAGCCTCTTTTGATCTTATAGCTTCTTTAAAGGTTACTAGTTCTTTATTAATTGAGGCTATAAGGCATTGCTTCGACTATTCTTCAGTTTTATCTCAGGTATTTTCACTTGATATATCTTCAGCGCACGTTCGCCAAACTTCAATACTGGTTTAGGAACTTTTATATATGACATACATCCAAACCTTCTAATTTGATCAAAATGGCAACGTGCGTTTGGAGCGAACCTTAGCGGAGGTGTATGATAATCAATCGAATTATGTGGTGTCCTACTGTATGTATGTACTGCTGCATCAACAGCTAATTCCTACATAGTCTTAGGTAAACCTGAGTCAAACATAAATGTTTTTATTTTCCTCTGAATAGCTGTGTTAAACCTATCCGATACTCCATTACATTCAGGTGTATATAGTGACGTAAACTTCACCATCAATTTAGCTGAGGCTTCTATAAAATAATCTGCGTCGAAAATGATGAACTACGTATTTTTTTTGTTCTGCGGAAAAACGTTTTGAAGGGGTAAAAATCACCCCCAAAGTTGACACCCTATAAAGGTGTTTTTTAATTTTCACATATTTCCGATCGAAATTTTCTAAAACGACCTTATACGTTAAAAACAACATAAAAAATAATTTAAAAAACTCTTGATTTATATATTTATAAACCTCGAGGATATACATTTTTTTTTATCAAAAATAACAAAAAATCTATGACTCAAAAACTATTAATTAATTTAATAAGACCAATTTCAAACGAAAGAACATAGAAAATTATGAAATACGTGTCTTTGCCATTTTTAAAATAATATCAAAATCGATGCTAAAAAAACTATTCTTTTCTATCGAAGAAATCTATAACTCAAAAATAAAAATTACTTTTTGATGGGACCAATTTCGATCGAAAGAGTATAAAAATTTACTTACGCGATACGTGTCTTTGCGATTCTTAAAATGACATCGAAATGGATGAAAAAAAACATATTCTCTAATGATTCTTTACACCATGCACAACGGATAATTGCAA